CGACATCCACAAAAATCCTCGCAGCATGTACGCGCGTGTGCCGCAGGCGATGGCGCAATTTGTTCTAAAAATAGAATTATTGTCCCATATCATGGGGACAACCCCAATACTTGAAATGGCGCGCGCTTACGGTCTCCGTCCTCGATTATGGCTCCTGATCTCATACCACTTACGGTAACTTAGTATAACATCAAATTAATTGAGCTCTCTTTGATGTGCTTTCAGCAAGTGGACCCCAGAAGACGATCAACAGCTGCTTCAAGTGGTGCAGATAGTTGGGCTCGGCAATTGGCCAAGAGGTATAAAAGTTTGTGGTATTTGTCACGTGCATTCCCTCTTTTAAACAGTCACATCTGAAGATCCTAGCAATTCATCGTATTGTGCAATGTTCACCCTGTATAAAATTGTAAGATTTGTGTGTTAATTTTGCTTGTTGCAGTGAGCCTGTCAAGGGATTTCACAAAGACCCTTTGATCTGGAACCAGATCGTGCCCTCCTAAAAGTGGTGATATAAGGGATACCAATTCTAATACACTAGATAATTCCTTTTTTTGAAAATTCTCAGTGGCTAGTTTCTTGGAAGGCCGGCACGGAGATCAGTGCTTGCATCGCTACACACAGACACTGCAGATGGTGAAGAAAGGCAAATGGTACGAAGATGAGGATAAGGTATGATCTGACTGACCTGGTTTCCACAAAAAATTGACTCAGTCTGTAAATTGGCTCTTTCTCCTTTCCAAAGAATCAATAAGCAGGATATTTTGTGATTCAGCTGCAGATAAACTTGAATAATTGGGAGCTTAAGCAACGACTACGGCGACGCCGAGGACGACGCCTAGTCAAAAATGAATCTATATTTTATCAGCGAAATTTACGATTGTCTAAATCTGTTCAGTACGCCAATGGCTTTAAAACTGTGCTCGGGCTAAATATGCAGTGACGGCGTTCAATACCAAATGGAAATACGAGAATTCGCCGTCGTCGTTCGCGTTCCTCAGACTGCGCAGAACTTGGTCATTTCACGTTCTCATTTTGCAGAGGACGGCAAAGAAATGAAGAAAGATTTACAACGCACGTGCACAAGTGTTGTTTTGCTCATTAAAACTTTGTTTGGTGACGTTCACGTCGCCGTCGTCGTCGTGATTTGCTTAAGCTTCCTAATAACTCAAAATTGAGTCAATCAGTCAGTCTATCAGTCCATCAGTTCGTCGGTCTGTCGGTCAGTTAGTCTGTCTGTCTGTCTGTCTGTCTGTCTGTCTGTCTGTTTGTCTATCTATCTGTCTCTGTCTGTTTCTCTGTCTACAGCCTTATAAATATCTCACTTCTTTAACAGTAAATGGATCTAGAACATTATTTCTTTGCACGTTTGGTTTTATCAGCTTCTTAAGAAAGCAGTTGACAAGTATGGAGCATGTAATTGGAACAGGCTGTCTGAGATGGTTCCTGGACGATCAGGACCTCAGTGTCGAGAAAGGTTAGTGACTCAAGTGTTACAGCCACAAAGTAAACAGGGCTGTTTGCAGGTTTGGTATCTAAGCAGCATTTTGTTGTCTCTTATTTTCTAAGCCATGGTGTTGTTAGTCTCCCCCCAGTGAATAACTTTAAAATAGTGTGCCTCCTACGCAGATTTCCTGTGGGCTCATCACACAATCTTCTCTCCCTCCACTAATTCATGAGAACAAAGAGAGCATCATCGTTGGAGTCTGCTTGAAAAAGAGTTCGTCAATTGAAGGACACTGCGTGACTTTAATTTTTTAGCCACCTTTTGGTCATTTACTAAATTCAAATGAAAACAAGAAAGCAGGCCAGACACGGTAAGGCATAATGAAAGACCACTTAAAGGAGGTCAGTCACGGTATTTTGACTTATCTTTGCCACGCACAAAATTACCTTTAAATTGAAGGAAACCTGGAAATAGTGGTTTACTAAGATAGAAGAACACTCTATAATAGAACCATAAACTAAGGAACAAGGATGGTTAAGGATAGAGAAGATAAACACGGATTACGAACGATGAACTTGAATAATTTAGGCTTGACTTTTCAAGATGCGCGAACCGTGACGTAGCTCCCATAACGTCTTGAGTTTGCCACTGATTATACGCCAGGTAGGTCTGGAATAAACCACACTTTTTATTTATATTAACCGAATAATTTCGATCAGTTATCTCTTCTGTAACCCCCCTACCAGTCCCTGCTCCAGCCTACTAAAAATATGACTACAAAGGAGGCAAGAACCCTTCAGGTTAGAATGTGGTTGTCTTGTTTGCTGTCTGAAATGCGATTTTCTTTGTTCTTTGTGTAGATGGGTGAATGCCTTGGATCCCAACATAAACAAAGGACCATGGACTAAAGAAGATGATCGGAAGTTGCTGGAATATGTTGAAAAATTTGGAAAAGGTGAGTTTGTGTATAAAGTTCGTTCAGTTTCTCTTTGTGTGGGAGCGTAAAGCAAATGCACTCTACTTTGTTCTTTAAATTAAGACATCTACGGGTCAACTTCACAACACTGCTTTGAGTCCGCAGGTAACAGGACATCCAAGCTAAGAGATTACTCCTGTATTTCTTTTTAATTTTTTTCTCACAGGAAACTGGTCTAAGATTGCTCGAGCTATGGGCGATCGAACTGATAATCAGTGTTGGCGCCGATGGATTGTACTCTGCAAGGATGACGTCAGTATCTTATTGAGATGATATTTCATGTAATTAGTACAAGCATCTGTTTTTATTTCAGTTATTGTATGTGGTGGGGTCTCATTGCTGGCATAAACTGCCAGTGGACGAACTGAATTTCTTTCTTTTTGTGTGGAGTGCAGTGTACACAGATTATTAACTAAACGAAACAGTTGTGGAGTCTACTGTACGTATAAAGCCGATCTTCTCAAAATCTCCAGTTGTAACTCGGGTTTATAGGCACGGAACCTTTTAGATTCTCCCAAACTTGTTATCTATCGTCTCTGTGAGCTTCTACATGTATTTTTGTTCTCTGAAGAATAAAAAAGAGATAAACCGTCGAGCGAAGAAGTGCTTGTGAGAATGTGTGTTATATGGCTTCCACTAGTAATATTGCCAATCCTGAAGGCTATTATGTTTAATTTTTGCAGTTTTTATACTATCGTCAAAATACCCTGCGCAAGAAAAGAGAGCTGGTGGCCAACTTCACTGGAAGAAGGCAGGAAAGACCGTCACTTGAACCCGAGGTAAACCACAGAGTCAAGTCACGCTATTTTCGTTTTACTACCCTGCAGCACCTTTCCCAAACTGTTCTATTTCATTTTGTAAACAAACCGTCATTGTCCTGTTCCTATGATAATTATACATTTTCCCTCCCTCCCTCCCTCCCTCCCTCCCTGCTTCTCTCCATCCCTCCCTCCCTCCATCCCCAAACTATTCCTCTTTCTCTTATTTTTAAACTGCTCTTTTCTCTCCCCTCAAACTACCCCCTCTTCTCCCTATAAAATACCCCTGTTCCCACTCATGCTCGTTTTTCTCCGTCTCTTTCGCCTTCCCTAAACCAACCTTTTCGTCATAAACTAACCCCTTCCCCTTCTCTTCGTTATACTCCTTTAAACTCGTCTGTGCTAGCTGCCCTGTATACTGTACATTTTCAATCTCCCAACGTCTTCGTCACCTTGTCAGTGGCCCTTCACAATATACTCATTTTATGTTTACTCTTTGCAACACTTAACTATTCAATTCCAGGTTGTTCTGTAATAACACTCAAGTAAGCCCTTGTTAAGGTGGTTAGCAGTGTAGATTTAGCTCACACTTCCTCTCTCTTTTCAGGATCTGGACATTCCAGATATTCCAGTTGTGGTAAGCAAGAGTAATCATTTTATTCTCCCTAAACGGTGCCGCATTTCTTTTTTTAGGGGGGGGNGGAGGTGGTCTCTTTTCCGGACATGACAGTGCGACGTGTAATATAAAGAGAACTCATTAGCATTGCATCTGTCACATTGATTTTCATAGTTGCGACGTAGTGCTTTTTCCTTTTCTTAATGTGGATAAGTGTTGCGTGACCAACTCTTTATTGACTGTGGTTTGTTTGTTTTCTTCTGTTTGTAGAGGAAACGCAAAGGCCCTGTTCCGCTTCCTATTGAAGAGTCCCGGGCGAGGCGACGAGCAACCAGGGCCAAATTCAGGGAGAAGAAACGAGCGGAGAAACGAGAGGCACAGAGGAGAGAAGCTGAAAAAAGACAGGCTGAGGAACAGTCCAACGAAACGGCTCCAAGTGAACAGCAAAGTACGGCGGGTGCTGAGGGTGAGGCTAAAGATGACGCGAATGATGGAGAGGAAGGCTCCTCCGAATCCAAGAAGAGCCCGCGCATCAGAAAAGCGGTTTGTTTCCTTTGTTGTCTTTACTTTTAGTGTTGTTTAGGCCACGGAAGTGTGTTTTCGTGCTGCCTCTTGGCCAAACATTTTTGCGACTTTAGTTTTTGAAGTAAAGTTTCACCTGCTAATTCCTTTGTCTACTCTTTCGTTCGTCCTTCTATGTTGGTCTGTCGGTCTGTTCCCCCCTTTCCTCCTTGCCTCCCTCACCGTTTCATTCGTTTCTTATAGTCATCCCTCTTTATCTATATTTCTTCATGTACCTAACCTTAGATTTCCTATAGTAAGCAAATACAAATGTTTCCTTGTATTCATACTTTGTGACGCTTGCCAACTCAGTAAAGATTATTGTTTTCTTGAACCTTTATGAAATTGTAATGTACAGGATATTTAGAAAGAAAATAACGAGCATGGTGTAAAAAAAAGAAAACAATCTACTCTTGGTACATACAAAAGTATGCAAAAGTAAGTGACTGGTTGGCTTGAGGGTGTAGTGAGTGATTAGAGATTTTCCTTGAACCACCCAATCTGCGAAATTAACATTTTAACAATTCCGTTCATGACCAAACGTAACAAGCATATACGAGGCCCTACGCGCAAATTTGGCAAAATAAACGGTTTCCTTCCTCTGAATTTGTCATTAGCGGGCCTCCCATTCTTCTACCGGTTATAACTCTCTACTCTCTGTGTTCTGACTCCTTGCAGGGCGGAAACAGGAACAGAATTCAGCAGCCTCATCACCGTGTTCTTATGAAAAACAAACAGCTCTCCAAACGGAAACGAGTCGCAGAAAAACGAGAAAAACGTCACACCGGAAGTTCGAGCGAAGAAAAGCAGGTCACAGTGACTGGCTCATTAGGGCCCTTCTCGCTTCTTCTGCAGGTAAACAGAATGGGCATAAGTGATCACATGAGAGGATGGGATGACCGAGTAGAATTAACGATAAAAGTCAGGCATATGAAGACATTACTGACTTAAGCAGCTGTGAAATTAAAGCTCCCAGTTGGCTTGAGAGCTCAGTTGGTAGATCACTGCACCGGGTTCAAATCCCATACAAGCCTGAAAAACAGGCTTCAGTTTCATAGCTGCTTAAGTTGTGTGTAAAACTGCGATGATCAATGTCTTCATATCTTTCTCCGCCGTTCGAATACATGATCTTTCAGATATTCCCTTGAAAAGTCAGGCTTGTTTTGAGAAATTTCAAGACTATGAGGAAAATTTGTTGTCCTCCCGATAGCGTTCAATGATGCTGGGAAGTTCCCGGTTGTGTACACGCGCAGGTGACTTCGCGTCTTTGAACATCTTGGGTCCCACTTTGAAACGTGTCATCTTGGAAAACTTGAGTTTTATTTTACCATGACCAAATGAAAAACATTCAACCAACTGACCAACCAACCTTCCATGTAAACCAAAGTGACATTTTACGCTCGAGGACAATTTTCCTTCGTAACATAGTGTAACAGTTCGTTTTTTTTTCTTTTCACAGGCGTTCAGTATCGATATCCCCACGGTTCTTCAAGCCATTCAAACTACTTCCACAGCATCATCCACGTTCACTCCTTCCTCAGATGCAAATGGCGCTAGTAACGCTGGGAACAGTCGAGGAGGAGAAGAGATTAGTTTAGGCGATCACAGCTCTCAGAGGAACCAGAGTGTCTGTTGTAATCCCGAGGCCCCCACGGAAACCGAGGCTGAAGTTCATGACGTCACTTGTAGTAGACAAACAGAACCACAGAACTGCGAGAAAGAGCAGTTAACTAACGAGAATGAACTTGTTAAAGGAAAGGACGGTCATAGTGATAGACATCAAGCAGCTAAAAATATTGATGCGGAGCCAGCTGTTGACTCACAAGTCTTGAACGATGCGAGTAACGGTGCCCCATCTAATGCGCACGCTCTTGTAAGCACGGACCGAGTTGAAGCTGGAAACGAATCAACAGCACAGACCCCAACAACAAGCCAGGCCACACGCAGGCGCGCACCAGCAATTCCTCCTCTTCCACCTTGCCTTACCACCCTAAAAACATTCAAATCTCTTCTTCAACTCCGTCCACATTTGCAGCGAATAGCCGCCATGTTGAACACATCACCTGCACACAGTACAGCGAACACTGTAGCTTATCAGCTGTCTTCTACAGCGGGCACAGCTGGTAGTCATAGAAACCAGATGTCACCAAATGTCACGTTTATTAATGAAAACGACGTTCACGTTAGTTTAAATGAGTCACGTCGTGGCGTTGTTGAATCGTCTAAGAACATTGATGCAGCATCCGGGAAAGACGCTGTAAACGAACCACATAATGAAACCTGTTTGGATGAGATAGTAGCCAACGATCACGTGGTTTCACGTGGACATGCACGTGATACAAAAGGAGGCGGTGAATCAGGCGAACAGCTGCCTACATCTACAGGTGCTGTCACGGAGGGTAAGCTATCGACTGGTCACTCTCGATTGACTACAGAAGGTCCCCGCACACCAGCAGTTGATAACATAGGTTCACAACAGATCCAAATTTCTGAACAAGCAGGCCAAGCAATATCGTCATGTAGAGCTTCTGATAGTGTACAAACTGATACTGTTCCTGTACCCACCATAGTAAGCAACGAACAAATTGACCGTTCACTTGTTCAGAACAGCACTCAAAAATCTCCTGCAACGGTTGCGCCAGGGAGTCGTTTAAACAACACTTCGTATCGAAATTCGTACGAGTACAAAATGCTCTCTTCGCGATTCAGCAGCCTATTCTTGTGGCCGGCTCTACTTTCTAAAATTCGGGTCAAGGGTTCTTCCCAAATTGGGCCTGTCTTTGCTGAAAGACATCCCCCGCCTAGTGGAGGCGGTGGCGATGGCACTGAAAACGCTACCACTCACAAGCGAAAACCTGCAGCATTACGTCAAACGGATGTCATTAGACGTAAGCGACCTGGTCTAGCTGCAGTGAGAATGGCTTCCTCAGCATCGCTTTCGACCCCAGGCCAGCAGATGTGCATAGTCGGGCAGGGTTCCGCTATAAGGAAGGAGACCCCAGCAAGGCAGCCTGATGACCCGTCGGTTGCTTTTGCAGCCTCTCAGTTGCTGTCATTACAAGAGACGTCAAGATCGTTGTCCATTCCTGCTGCGAGTACTAGTTCATGTAACACGCGTAGGAGCAAGAGAAAAGGAACTCCCGTGAAGCGAAGTCCCAATGAAACGCACAGCACTTGTGCATCTAAAAGAAGCAAGTTTATTAAAATTTCGGATTCTTCGCCTTCTTCCGAAGAGTCTTCGTATTCTGAGGATGATTCTCTTGATACTGAGTATTTACCTGTGAAATCAAAGTACAATACAGTGAGAACAGGCGCTGCAATGAAAACTCGCCAATCTTTACAGAAAATTCAAAATTTAGATGTAAGGGATGCCAAGTTGCCTCCAGATATCCCAGCGACGCCTTCTACCTCAACAGACCAAGTTAGCAACGCCGATGAAATCCCGCTCACTCGAGTTGTGAACAGGGGCGATTCTACCGACGTATCCCAGCCTTCTTTGTTAGTTGTGCAAGAGGGCACTGATGTCAGACCAGCTCAAGACGAGGAAACCGCTGGCCAACAGTCAGGCGCAGCTGCTAATCAGGACTTATCAAAGAAAAGTCTACTTCACGAGAACAACTCGCCATCATGTTCATCCAAACGGAAAATTTGCAAACCCGACAAAAATCGTGGAGCTCGCTGGAGAGCCATGCTCCCGAACGTCGATTCTGAAGAAAGCGATGCGTAGTAAAACACGTAATCAGCTTGTTATTATTTAACGCTGACCATTAATTATTTAAATACCTTTTTTGGAGAAAAAGTTTGTCTCCGGAGGTCGATTTAGCTCGTGGGTTTCGCTACAGAGGATTTCACCTCCATGATACCATACTTGCCTGACAACTGTTGAAATCATCGCCCTTCCTTTTTGGTGTCCATATCATGTTTAATTAAGTTGGGGTCAGTGAAGATCTGCTTTGACAGTGATCGTAGTCGTATGTGCAATAGTAGAAGCTGTCTTGAATGTTGTAAGAGGGTGTACGCACTGTAAACTCATTACTGCGGATAAACGGTGCAGTCATTATAGGGTTCCAGATAAGTTTTAAAGGTTGGGTGCCAATAAGGAATTCCAACGGGTCAATTCCCAATGCACCCACCAAATCGCTATAATTTTTTTACTAATGTATCGCGTCATGTAGCTGATCTTGTCAGGTTCTTGACCTGAGATTCCTCACTTACCTGGAACACTGCAATGACTTGGGCTGTTGGTAAATTACGTTTTCTAAACCATTTCCTGCCTTTGTCTCGATTTTTCCTTCATTCCACTTGGTTTAAGTGCCAGTTAAGGCCGCGCCCACACCACGCCGGAGGAATTTAAAAACGGACTGAGGTTTCACGCTGAAAACGTGTCAAATGTTTTCTGTCCACACTACATCAGGGAAATTTGAAAACGCAACAATCAGCGGTCATTTTGGATTTGTGTTTGAGTAAAACCCGGGTAGGGAAGTATCGTGATTATCGTAACCTGCCGGAGGAATTTGAAAAGGGAGCTTTATTTCTCCGGTTAGGCCCACTGTCCACGCTCATCCGTCACGAAAACGGAGCTTTTCGAAAACGCTCTTCAAACCCTAAACGCCGAATGTGCGTTTTGGTCGGGACAGAAAACATTTTGAAAACGAAGCTTTTCGAAAACGATGATGGAGAANATGGTAATCATTGTCCGCATGCTTGTGTCGAATATGCTTGACAAAGAAAAAAAAAAAAGAAAAAGAAAAAAAACACACTCGTAAGAAACACAGAAGAGCTTAAAAGAGGCATGGCTGGACAGAAATGGAGAAGAGTGAAACGGATTGCATTCAGGTAAACTTGAAAAACGTTGGCCCCCGGCCCTGTTCCCTGAAGGACAGGGTGTTTACGTATCAGAATTAATTTCACATGAATTTCAAATTTAATAAAACTATATAAAAACTCAACTGAGCTTTCGCCTGTTGTGTGGCGTGAAATGGTCAGCTTTAGTCGACTGTGAAAACATCAAGTCGTTTTTCGTTTCTCACTTTTTCTGAACAGCATTCAGAGTTTTTCGTCTACACGAGTTTGGCGATCATATGCTCGCTCGCACGAAAGTGTTTACGAAAATAGGCGTTTACGCTTATCGCTTCTGACGTGTACGTAGGTACGTTTGCATGGGCGAAAGGCGTAGACATGTCGGTGGCAGTATGGTAGCCGTGACGTCATGAGAAAGCGCTCTATAAATAATATTCTTTATATTTATTTATTTTTTAATATTGTCAGATATTGGCACCGGATTAGCGGGCTTTGGATTAGCGCTCGAAGACAGGTGGAACGAACACTGGAGATATTTTTGTAAATCCAGCTGCAAGAATTTTTGCCATCGGTTTTGCCGTTTGTTTTGTTGGTAAAATGGGTTTGCTCAATTTGGTTTAGTTTTTGGAACTTGGTCATCAAGAGAAAGTTTCATCACGATTATGCGATGAACATGAAAATAATTTTTCCGGCAACCGTCCCAAAAGAGCATTCCCTTAATCTCTGGTCCACCTGTTAGAGTAAAATGTCATTTAAAACACGTGCAAAACACGTGGGCACGCGATAAACCGTTTAACTGACTAATTGACTGCAATTGACGTCACCCACAAAGCCAACCGTATAATCAACAAAGCAATTTTAAGTTTTATTTTTCTAAAGCTGGGTGTGCTTTTGTCCTCTTTCCAAAAGAAAACCACCAGTAATTCAGTTCATTGAGTGGCGCTCCCATTAGCTATATTACCTGCAAAGGTTGCGGTTTCCGCCACATTGATCTTTGAAGTTGCGTCAGGTAAAAAAAAAAAAAATCGTTCGTGTCGTTCTCTGTTCGCAAACGTTTCGTGCTTTCCTCCCAATTAGCATTAACTCTACGCTACACACCTGTCTAACAAGGAATTAATTACTAGCGAGACTCGATAAAAAGTTTTCTTGATTTCCCACCTGTCTCGTTTATTAGCTTGTTTTACAAATTGCGGCTATGCAAAAGAAATCGTCAAATTACGGCCTACGCAGATTATTCACTGAGGACTTTATATTTTCAACAAGAAACCTATTGCGTGAATTCAGCCGTTTAATTTTGGCACGTGCCCGATTATTGATACCTAACAAAGAGTATATATTGTTTAAAAGATGTATTTTCTAGACCGTAAAGAATGATGGTAGCACAACTTTACAAGATTAATTTTTTTTCTCTGTCGTAGTTGATCTTAAAAAAATAATTTCAACTTTTAACATTTATAATAAACTACCATTAATTTTTTGCTTGTTACATCTTCAATCTGCTGGGAGCTAGCATCGAATGTTAATAAAACTTTCAAACACTTCTGAGATCCGCAATAAAATTAAAATACTGGTGTGGAATTCAGCCAAAAATATAGTTTTTAATTTCCAAAGAAAAACGCCTACTTTTTAGCCCATATGATCGAAGAAGTCAAATCATAAAATGTAATCAAGGTTCCCATTTTGTTAAGTTGATTTATTTTTATTTTCTGTTTTAATGTTATCCATTGTGAGTATTGCGACATTATGTCTGGAGTTTTAATAAAGCGTTCGCTCGTTAAACACAATTCAGATAGAAAAATTACACATGTTGCACTTAGAATATTGTAAAATTGATAATTAATTGCACGTGTAGGAGTTTTTCATTAAGATCTAATTTAGGTCGAGGGAAATGTTTATCAAATATCAAAGAATACGAACACTAAACGACATACAATTAACTAGGAAGTCGTGTCATGTGTGGCACATTAAACCTGCAGGTCTGTAAAATCCTCAAGACATAAGAACACTGAAGATACGTGAATTTAATAAACAGTTGGTTTCGAGTTTGCTCTAAATCCATGGTTATTTCCATTCTTAGTTGAAACAGAAACGGTATTTTTTACGTTTCCCCCCCAAAAAGAAACCATCTTTAAGAACCTAGGGATTAAGAATTTTAAACAATATATTTGTCTTATTTTGTGCGCAAATCTGTCATCCCTTGATCGATTGAAGCCTTTTTGCACTTTTCGAATGTACTTCAGAAACCTTTAGTCTTCGGTAGAGAAATTTTAAACTTATGTCAGACTTTTTACAAATTTTGCTTCAGATCCTTTTCCGCCATCGCTGAATTTTACCGTCGATAAGATAAATGATCAACTATCGGTTGGGAAAAAGAACACTGAACAAAATATTTTCAACAGTGGTTATTTTCGCGTTTACCACAATGACCGGAGATCATTGACTTTTGTAATATCTGAACAGATCACTAGCACCAGACTTTCGCTTTGATCAATTCGGCCAAGACAGACTCTTTGGTGGCTTGCTTAAAAAAGAGAAGCACATTTAGGGCAACGTATATCCTGATTCTGGAAGTGCAGGAAAATAATTTCCTTCCAACGGAAAGCCTCGAGAAAGTTTTGACAGTTTTGTAAAATCTCAGTACATTTTGATGGCTAACAAGGGATCTGGGAGTGAGTTTATGTTCGCGCCACCGCTTTCTAATGCTGGTTGCGTCGCCGACCCATTTCTTGTCTCGAAGGAAGCTGCCCTCAAGACCAAAACTTTTTCTGTCGACCAACATTTCAGTTATTTCACCCTTTGAAATGGAAGGCTGTATTTGCTTTAGAATTGACCTAGAAGACCACACGGGCGTTTCAGTAGTATCAGAAGTGTTAATTCTCTCAAGAAACTCGAAGATGACATTGGCGAAAGAGCGCGTTCTCAAAGTTTCATTGTTTTTCAAGGCTGGCAAAGGTGAGCAAGCTGAATTAAGCTTAAGCTTAAAAAGCTTCAGGTTTTTAACTTCTTAAGCTCAAATGAAAGATTAAGCTAAGCTTATCTTGTTTATTGCACAGAAGATGAGGGGAATACAGTCTCATGTACGCTTATTTGGCTTTGTTCGATTATTTTAAACGAGGATTTAAGCTTATTTCATTCAGGATAGTCTCCTGTAGCGGTTAAGACGCTGTCCGTCAAGCGTATGAAGCTTATAACAGGATGAGTTTTGTTGACTCAGTTCTAACGGAAACTGATTAAAATTAAAACCAGGACAGTGAAGTAAGCACCAACTTGTTTGCCAACTTGATGACTGTAAGTAGATTAACTGCTTTACAGCTATGGGATAAACGACTTCTAAATTTCATTTAACGTCATTTCTAGCCATATTGTAAATTAGTAGTAGTAGTAGTAGTAGTAGTAGCAGTAGCAGTAGCAGTAGCAGTAGCAGTAGCAGTAGCAGTAGCAGTAGCAGTAGCAGTAGCAGCAG